TTTTTGCCATCAGTGTACATATAGAAAGACCTTGATATTCATGCAAAGGCAGCTTGTACTTTTGCATAGGGTATTCTCTAGTCATGCGTTCTCTAACCCTTGTTTAGTTGATTGTCATGCCCATTGTTCGACTTCCCATCAACGCGAGTAGAATACTAATACCTGACGCTCTCTTTGACGCATCTTTGTTTGACACTAAGTATTTGAGCAAATATTTGGAGAATTTCGCATACGTATTATCTACTCCTATAATGTATGCAGAAATTTCGTGTTTGAGGCAATATTAAGATTGGCAGTGTGCATATGAATGTACATCTATAGATTTATTCATCGAAGATTTGTCATACTCTTGCTTGGGGTTTACTGGGAAAGTTTGTTTCGAACTGCTTTTTGAGATATTGTGGGTGTTTCCCTCTTCGCCTGTAAGTCGTATAGTTCCTTAGCATATGCCAATATTGATTTGTAATGTATAGCTGGTGAATTTTTCAATTGCGTCAATAATTTGCATACTTTTTTCAATCGAAAATTATTCACTTTCCCAATTGGAAAACAACGGATATGTTGTGTATATTTCAATTATTCAATTATCAAATTTACAATACATTTAATGACTATATGACTTTGTCATTAAAAGTATTGTACTCTGATATTATTTTTGTACTTAAAAAATAATTGAATAACAAATCAAGATTTTTTAGTTATGTGAACGCGATTTAATTAAAACTTAGCTCACTTAACAATGGATGATTTAGTCTAAAATGCTCGACCAATAAATACCCTAAAATAAAAACTATAAAATCATGACTTGTATTACTTATAAAATTTAAGGAATTTTTCCTTTTTACTGTTTTTTTTTTTTTTTTTTTCAAAATGTAGAATTTATTACAGTTTTCTTTTTATAAATTTATTATTATTATTAGTTCTACTATTATTAGAGTAAAATCTCACAACTGCGAACGACAATTCAATATACAAAATAAAGAACTCACCAACACTTCTAGTAAATATTCTGGAATATTGGAATATTGTTTCATGGCTAATCTTAAAGTTTTCTTTGGAGCAGCGCTATACATAAATATCAATTGTCGCTACCATGTCCAGTAAACGTGATCGATCTGCTGAAAGCCAAGCTTTTCAAACATTTTGCGAGAGGGCGTATTCCCAGTTACAACAGGTGCCCTAACTTCATCTCCGAGCTCCGAAATTTGTTTGGATAAGTAGCGAACCATTAAACTACCCAAGCCAAGGCGCTTGTGGGTATCCACAACCCGCAGCAGACCCAACGCTCCACTAGGTAATCTATGAAGGAATTCATTTGAGTACATAAACACATATACATATTCGATAGGCTATCGTTCACACCTCATACACCAGGCTATTAAGTTGCCTTGCTCGTCGTAAGCGCCCACTGAAATATTGTGAGTTATCAAGCTCCTCACAAATGCAACAGAACCTTCCGAACGATGCGGCCAGATTTCATTGATGGCCGAGGCGTGCTTCACATCCAAACGGCGCAGCTCGATTCCAGCAGGTGGTCTAAAAAACCAAAACACAAATGTTAATAGAGCTTTCTGTACTCTTTATGGTCTATAGAAAATATATACTCCGCTGTAAAGCTTGCAACTAGCTCTTTGCTCGCTCTGTACCAGACTGTTTGATCCGTTGTCTTCAAAATGCTCTTACATTTCTCTCTTAAGGCGTCTACCACTGGTATGAGCCGCTCTCCATAGGCTGTCAGCAAATAAGCATCGGTAGCTTCATACAGCACGCAAAGCATTGCATTTATCAATCGCTCGAAATTGTCGCTGAGTGTATTAAAAGAGAGCTCTTTGAAGGCCATGCCATGGTTAACCTACGAAGAGTAGCAAATGTATGCATGATTTGTTGAGCTCACTCTCATTACTCCTCTCTCTTCACAACTACGCTCTCTACATACAATCATTACAAATGTGCCATCGCTTTGCCATTCTCCATCGAGCGAATATATCTTAACATCCACCTTCTCATCGTTAGCTACCCATTTAATGTAATTTTTGATTAGCCCATATCCATTTGATTCAAGTTGTTTGTGCTTGTAAAGTTCTAGCAAAGTTTTCCATTCACTGCGGCTTATCTCGACAAGCGAATGCGATTTGTATTGTAGTTGCGACATGACCAACCGGCTCTAAGTTCGCCCGACAACTAAACAGGGCGAAGTCATAAGCACTTCTATAAATAGGCGAATTCAAAAGAGCGATAGAGGGGGAGAGAGAGAGAGAGAGAGAGTCGGTTGACAACAATTGTGCACATGTGTTTGCTTATGATTTTATCATTTTACAATTTTCAAAAGCCGAAATGCGAGTAATAAAATATAACGGTTTACAAAGGACTGACATACAAACATATGTATATGCATATGTGTGTGCAAGTGCAAGCCCTTTAATGCAGAAATGGTAAAAGTATGAAGATAAGAGAATTTTAGCATATATATATATTGATATTACAAGATTAAGGTTGACAACGATTTTCGTTTAACTAGATAATTCGCCAGGTAACTAAACTGTAAATTCATTGAGTAGATTAGATTACTGTGAGTGTCTATAAAGCATAATATGAAACATGTGCACGTATACATACATACTATGTCTAGACGAAATTCCACTTGGATACAATATCAACTGAAATCTAACTATGAGATTCTCAATGAGTAAGAAGAGCTGAGTCGATTTAGTAATCTCAGTAATAAGCACACTTCTTCTTCTTCTGCGTGCCCTTCGTATTTAATGCTTCGTATTCGCTACAAGTTCGAGTAAAACAACTAGCTCAAAAAGCTCTCATGCGCTCAGCTCCCAATGTGAGCGAATTGTGCTGCCTATAAAAGGGGCAGCATCTGCCAGCTCTTGCTCAGTCGATCCGCTGACCTGTTGCTGGTTGGTTACGAAGTGGTGTGGAGTGTTTTTTTCTGCATATTCGCTGGTAAAGGATGATGCGATTGAAGCTCAAAGTAATTGAAACTGCAACTAATTATAGTGAAGTATGACCAAGTGGAGGGGCAAATACATTCACATTGGAGCGAATTCAAATAATATAATAATAATTATCATGCAACTTGTATTTTTAATAGAGAGTAAACATTCAACAATGAGCTTTACTTGTCTTAAAATTTTGGAGCTGTTTAATAATAAATAAACAGTAGAATTTATTTATATGTACATATATAGCTCGATCATAGTGCAGGCACCATGGTAAAGACTATACTGTCCATAAGCTTGAAACCCATTTTCTCAAAAAATAGCTGGGATATTTCATTGCCAAAGGCAATTGTAGCCAAAACCTCGGCTCCAGTTGCGGCAATTTCTCTAGCCATATGACGCACCAGTAAAGAAGCCAGACCGAGACGTCTATAAGAAGGTAAGACATACAAATTGCTGAGACTACCCTGGACAGCTCTGAATAAAAGGAAACATTAGTGATATATAAGGGATATATAATACGAATTTAGCTACCTCAAGCACCAGGCCAAAAGTTGCCCATTTCCATCAAAAGCGCCAACACTGATATGATTCTGGATGCGATCTTCGATCAGTGCCAAAGAATCAGTTGAACGATATGGCCAATGTTCATCAACTAAAGCAGCATGCCTAAGGTCCAATGGAGCAAAATTTATATCTGCTATTAAACTGAAGAATATATATTATATACACATATATATATGATTTGTTAAACTAGTTATAGCTTACCGACTATCGAATGTTTCTATAGTCGTTTTAGGTAAATAATATACATATGTTTCCATTTGATCCAACTTCTTCAAACTTAATCCTCTCTCAAGGCAAAAGTTATTTACAGTTAACTTCAATACCTGTTTATAGCCACAAAACCAGAGTCGATCGTTCAGTTGAAGAGAACTGAGCAAATTTTCTAGATACCTGAGCGAACCACTTAGAGTATTTAGATATATATCTGATTTGTTGATATTGTAGTGCTGTAATATATATACATACATATCTATATATTGTTTACATTTTCATAGTTCATATAGTACTAACGATGAGCACAAATGTTCCATGATCCATCCAATCGTCGTCCGTCGTATAAATTTTCACATGATTCGCTTGTTCGTTGCAATTTATAAAGATATTGATTAGATCGTAGCCTGTTAGATTTGTACGATCGTGTTCATATGCATCTCGTAGCAGAGCCCAATGATTACGCATCAGTTCCAACATTTTTGGTTTTTCAAATTATTATCTTTGTCAATTGTTCTACCAATCACTTCAGTTAACAAATGCGCACTAATTCGAAACTGCGCTTTTTACTTTAGAAGCAAAAATAAATTTCAAAGAAAGAAAAAAAAACACTTATGTCATTTTTTTTGCTATATAGTCCATATACCATACACTTTCCCTTTTTTATGTGTCACACAAGACAAAGAGCAACGGGGGAGTCCAGAATTTTCATCTCTTTGGCTCTCAGCTTTCGGTCTCTATGACAAAATTTGTTTGTGCTGCGCGAAGGGAAACAATTGTGAAGCAATTTCTGCAAATCTATTTATAATCCTAAAGCGACAACAAATATATAAATTATGACTAGCATTCGATTAGTACTCGAAATACGCGCCAATAACACCATTGGAATCCAGCAAAAGCTCGAGGGTAAGCTCGATTTAGTTTTGTATAAAAAAACGGAATTAAGCTTTTACATACAAATACATTTATTTTTAAATTACATAAATGTTTATAGCTTAGTTTATTATTTTAACTTAGTTGTTATGTATTTATAATACAATAATAAGTATTATATATATTGTATATAAAGAAAAGTATAAGGTATTTTTGAAAAAGCTAATATCAATATTTCACTATTGGAGTTTTTGGCTCAGCCGTGGCCGTTACTGATGAACATCAAACTAAAAATCGATGTCTCACTGCGAAATCGACTAGCGATTCTTACCCTATATACCGATACTTTTCTACCGATGACTGGCGCTAGTTGCTAGCTGCGCATATAATTCAATTCTATTAAAATGGACATCGAAGATTTGCACTGGCGGCAACAAATATTTCCTCTAGCTTATGAAGAGCTGGTAACGTTAGAAAAATAGTCAACAAAGCGACCAAAGCTAGAAGTGCCAATTGAAGCTCCGCCGAGCAGATAACGGAAGTGGAAAATGTGAAAGACAACCAGCACATGCTGTGTGTGATTGCGAAGTAACTGAGTCGCAATATTGATGGCCTGTTTGCCAAGATGTTGGCCAGCTTGTTCTTCATGTTGCGAAGCCGCAGCGAGGCATGAATGAAAGTCACTGAGACGGGCAGCAGCAGAGTAAAGGTCGTCAGCAGAACCGCGCTAATCATGTGCAGAAACAGATAGCTAGCCAGCAGGGCGCCCGCCAGGACGTACCATTTTTGCTGGGCGTTCTGCTGAGCTAGAATCTGGTTGCCGCCAGTGAGGCGACTGGCTATGAAGTTCGTCTTAGATTTGCTGCTAAAGAACTGCCAAATGATGGCGATCAGCAGAGCCTGCACGATCAAGCCGCTGATGATCTTCATGGGATTGCAGGCGATCATGATGACGTAGATCGCCAGAAAGACCAGGAAGTAGTTGGTCTGAAGCGCTGGTAACGTTAGAAAAATAGTCAACAAAGCGACCAAAGCTAGAAGTGCCAATTGAAGCTCCGCCGAGCAGATAACGGAAGTGGAAAATGTGAAAGACAACCAGCACATGCTGTGTGTGATTGCGAAGTAACTGAGTCGCAATATTGATGGCCTGTTTGCCAAGATCTTTTACAACGAAACCAACACGGAGAAATTCCGTACACGAACCGGCATGTCGATACTGGTCCGCTTGATTGGTAAGCAATTGAATAAGAACTGCATACGTCAGCCCATAAAACCTGAATGCCAAAATACTGAAATATTGTTCCGTTACAAGAGCGTATATGTATTCTGCAGCTACCTTTGCAACGTGGAGCGGTCGATCTATCGAAAGCCTTTAAAATGAGCTGCTCCACAGTGCGTACCATTATTCAGGAGACGAGCGAAGTGCTGTGGAATACGCTTGCATCCGCCTTTATGCCACTTTCCAGTGTATCGGATTGGCGTAATGTTGTTGCAGGATATCAGGGCTTGTGACACGTGTCACACTGCCTGGACGCCGTGGATGCGAAGCTGCTGGAAGTCTCGTACAGGAACGAACACGATATTGTCTTGATAGCTAGCTGCGATGATAGATATGGCCATCGTGATGAATGCTGTAACCAATCCGCTCCAGTGGCAACAGGATTTCGGCCCAGAGCTTGGACAGAGCTCTTGCAAAGCAAATTAGCATACCGCTTCATATCTGCCCTGCGGCAGCACCTGATTACGCCTTACGAGGAGCACCAACTTACGACGACGATCAACGTAATTTCAATCAACATTTGACAATTACCGTTGTGCTGCCCAACTTTCTTAAGCAGCACGACGAGACTTATTGCTCTTTGGAGTGTGTGACAGTATGCGCGGCCATGCATCAAGTGCCCAGGGATTGGCTCTCCAGCACGCAGCAGCCATTGGCTGATTGTCCAGCAGTGCCCCCATTCTATTTAATTCTATTCGACCAATTTTATACCCTGAACCCATTGAAAATGGGAAATCAGGGTATAATGTTTTTTTACATTTAATTCCTACATAAACGAAGTTTCTTCCTTTCGATTTTTTATTATTCTGTTTTAAAATCAAATTACTGTAACTTATATCTATAAATAGCCCATCTATTTCTCTACCAGACTTTGAATCAAAGGTGCTTCTATCTAATCTGTTTATTTCAAATGGACAGTCGATTTATCTCTAAATAAGTATTGTCTGTCTTTGCTTTGCTTTTATAAGAATGCTAGTCTAAGGCCCCTTTAATGTATATATATTACAATCACATCCATCTGTATGCACGTTCACAATCCATGTGAACTTTGATAAATATAAAAAATTCGACATTTAATGGTTTACTTTAGGGGAGAACTTTTATTGACTTTTATAATTGCATATTAGCAGAAACAATACGTGGGTAAGAAATTCATTTTTAAACATAAAAAAGATCAAATCGTAATATATAAATATAGATTTACATATATATGTATATATATATATATATATATATATATATATAGGTGTATACAGTGAATCGAAGCATCTATTCAAACATGACCAACAATGAGCATTATTTATCTGCCGCCTTAATTAATGACTCCCTCGGCGCGCACATTCAATGCATCCAGGAGCGAGCCCATGGGCGTGGACGGGCCGAAGCTCTCGATGGTGTTGGCCAGCTTGTTCTTCATGTTGCGAAGCCGCAGCGAGGCATGAATGAAAGTCACTGAGACGGGCAGCAGCAGAGTAAAGGTCGTCAGCAGAACCGCGCTAATCATGTGCAGAAACAGATAGCTAGCCAGCAGGGCGCCCGCCAGGACGTACCATTTTTGCTGGGCGTTCTGCTGAGCTAGAATCTGGTTGCCGCCAGTGAGGCGACTGGCTATGAAGTTCGTCTTAGATTTGCTGCTAAAGAACTGCCAAATGATGGCGATCAGCAGAGCCTGCACGATCAAGCCGCTGATGATCTTCATGGGATTGCAGGCGATCATGATGACGTAGATCGCCAGAAAGACCAGGAAGTAGTTGGTTTGGTAGTACAGCAAGTTCTTGACTACCCGATTGCCCCACTTATCAAAGTCCTTCAAGTTGGGCAGCTGAAAGCGCGCCGATCCGAGCACAAAGTCATCCAGAGTTCGGAGTGGTGCAAGCTGCAAATTTCCAGAGAGCGCTGCAGCCGCATCGCCAACGGATGAGGTTGATGGCGCCGACATGGTTTTTGAGTATTTAGGATTATTTAACTTCTGGGGCAACTCCTGGCTGAGCTTTTGGTAGTTCACTTGGCGTAGACCACGCGTTAATTGCTGCACCTCTTTGAGGTCAAACAGCTGAGACGCTAGCTGCCTTAATCTGGGCCGCAAGCCAAAACTATTCGATTCGCTTCCTCTTTTGGGCAATAGACGTGCGCGTTCGTCTGTGCTATGCCAAATGGAATCTTCCTCGGAGTCACTATATTTGCTGTCCAGTTTAAGAGCTTGGAAATCTCAACGCTTGGCACGCAATTTGTGTGTGTGGCTCTTTGATTAAGTGCGACAAATACCTTTAACAAGTTGACTCATGAGATATGCTGGCGTGAGTCACCCTGTGTTGAGTGTCAGCATATCGATAAAGTTAATTTACAAATTACAAATTATAAATGCATCTATCGATATAGTATCTTTTTCAATTGCAAATGCACTACAAATCTTAAGAATATTTTTTTGTTTTGCTTTTGTCGCATAAAAAACTTATTTGTTGTTAATTCGTTTGCCTTTGCAACGATCTCAATTCAATTTATTGAGGATTTGTCAACTAATTAGCATAACATTAAATTGAATGAAAATGAAATGGCTTCTTAACACATCGATACTTTTCAAAACTTAATGCAAATATCGATTCGCAATTTCACTTTCTATAAATTTAACTGCAATTGATTTTATTTTATGAACTACAAATGGTTAAAAAATATTTCATATAATTTGATTGATTAGCAAATTATTTTTTTCTTTCGCTGTCTATTGACCTATTATTTTAAAATTGTATGTTCTAGATTACCACCCAAATAAAACTGATTTCATTTAGTTTGAGCTTAGCGTACAACTATGAATAAAATTGTTAAATTATTTTACAAACTTTTGTATTTTGTATTTCGTCATGAAAAACTGTCTTCCTTTCTATTTAATTTTTGTCTTCGAATTAAATAATGCAATGTAAGTACAGCTAAATTAACACTTGTGTGTGAAAACAAAATCCTAAAAAATAATGGAAATAGTTTGAAAAGTTATTTTGCAGGGCGGAAAAATTGGTGTTAGACGAAAATCGACATAAAAATTGTTAAACAATTCTGTTTATATATATTCATGATTAAATTAGGAATTATTTGTTGTTGTCTATGAGTTCTTGTGTGTTTGTTTCGAAGCTCCAACCTCCGACTGTGCCAAACGGATTGGACTCGAGTTGAGGACTACGACTACTCAAAACTTGGTTCAAGTTATTTGGTAATGCGTTTTCGTTTAGCTGGCAACACAAAAATTTCAGTATTCGTTCCGTTCCTTTGTATATTTCACTTTTGTTATTCTTCTTGTTTTGTTATTTGGTGGTAGTAGGGCTTGGTTACGCTTCCAGATCATTGACGAAGAGCACTTCGCGATGCTTAAGACCCACATCCTTTAGGGTTTTGCTGTAGGTTTCATTGACAGAGCATTCGGCTGCATCGATGGCCGCCTTGGAATAGAGAACACGCTTTGGGAAATTCGTTGTTATTTCAAACTCATCCGGCGAAGCGGGATGACAGAAGAGGAAATGATAAACGTCCTGAAATAGAATCAGATGATTAGTAAGGAACAGTTTAGGGATTAGCTTTGTTGATATACCAAAATGGAATTAGTTTGCTGAAAGCGTCGTTCGAGACGTGTACCATCAGGCAGTTTGAAAACCACAGCAATGGTATCTGCAGCATCGGGTGCCGGCTCTTGCGGTACCAAGTTGGCCAGCTCGATCTTCTGCCTGGCTATCTCTTCCTTGCGCAGCTCAATATCTCGACGGGCTCGTTCCTCCGCCTCAATCACTTCGCGAGCGGCATCGCGTTCGCGTTGGCGCTGACGCTCCTTCTCCTCATCGGCGAGCAGACTCTGCTCATAAGCCTCATCCTGCTGGCGGCGTAGCGTCTGCGTGAAGTTGCGCTCGAGTCGATCGGCGCGCGCCTGACTCAGCCACACCTCGTTGACGGTGATGACCGACTGGAGGCGACGCAACAGCTCCTCTGACGTGCAATCGCCCTCGAAGCGTCCGACGACCATCATGCGATTGGCCCTTAAGCTAATCATAACCATCAGGGGATAAGTGCGCACCGTGAGCGTCTGCATCACGCGATATCCTTCCGGCGTGGACACATCACAGCCCCAGAGCAACGTGTGCGCATTGATGTAATCAATAACTGGACGCGATGAGAGCGTGTCACGACAAAAGGATTCCACGTCTGGATTTTGTGTGGGATCCTTGTGCAAATAGATGAGCAGAAACCGCAACTCCTGCTTAGCATCGTTCAAGGCCTGGGCATAGGTGCCCTGATAGAAGACAGGATGTTCCGGATAGCGTTCGTGGTACTCTCTTATGAACTTCATCACGTCAGCCAGTGGATCGGAAACGATTCGCGGCTCGTTGCCGCCACCAAGGTTAATAAATGCGCGTACAATGCCAGAGAGTGTCGAGTAAAAGTATTGGAACACAAAGTTGATCACATAGCCGAGGATGCCCGTGAAGCTGCGTGGCATTGGCCCGATGCTTGGCACCCGGCTAATAGTGCGTCCGCCTGGCATGTTCGCCGAAAAGACCTGTTGCAGGAATCGATCGTTGATCACAGCAGGTGCGCGAACATCTGTCGAGGCAGTCAGCATTGTGGGTCGTCCCTCGCGAATGTTCATTTGCTCCTGAAAGGCCACCTGCAGGGGAGATGTGTCCGTTAATCAAAGACTCCAAGCAAGCAAGCCACGACACTCACCTCGAGATCCCATTGATGACGCATGAGCACATCGCGACATATGTTCATGTCCTCTATGCCAGTCAGATCTTGGAATTGTAGCACTTTGTCTGTTTGCTCATTTGTCAGACCCTCCGCCTCCATTTTGCAGCAGGTGCGGTTGTTGTTGTTTTTGTTGTAGTCGTTGTCGTTGTTGCAGTTGCTGTTATTGTTAGTGTCTTTATTTTAGCTATTGCGTTTTCTATTGGCCTTTGTCTGTCCGCTCCCTGCTGCCAGCTGCTATTGGCAAAACGAGTGCGCAATTTGAGTTTTTGTAATTTATATTGGCAAATTTATTTGATATTTGCACGGGCCAAGACTCACTAAATAAACTGAACGAACGGAACCCCTGATTGTCGTTCATCTAACATATGTTTTTTTTTTTTCGGCAACCAAAAACTTAACATTTTGCTGCGCTGTTATTAACAGCGATCCATCGCCAATTTTGAAAAAGATATTTTCGGTTATTTCGAATAATGTTTTTTGAGTTACTTAAAATGTCTTATAGAAATAACTACTGGGCTGTTATCTATATGACAAGTGTAAATTGTATTGATTTCCGTTGCAAATAAGTAGCTGTTAAGTTCCTGTTAGTTCGCTCGTACAAACTGTTATTTTACATTATCGATTCCTCAAGTTGGCTACAATTAGACAACCGTGCCCCAAAAGGCTTATAAGACTGTTAAATGTATATTTTTAGCACTGTCTTTTAAATTCTAGGTCTCCTTAACATTTTTATTTCTCCAATACAGCAAAGTCATTACGATAGACCGATATTTATCAACTATTTTAACAGTCTATCATCTCTATGTTGATGATTTTATACATGTTCAACATTTACATTTGAATTATGTTCACATTTGCGATAGATCGATAATAATTGTCATCGTGTCATCGTCTCGCCACTACTTCAATTCGATCATGACAGCTGTTGCTGTTAGACTTGTGTTTACTTTTAATTTGTTTACCTATGCATTTTCCGGGTAAAATGAATGCACGCGCACAGAAAGCGTTTATGCTGAACTTCTTTTTAGACGAAGGTCTGGGTCCGCAGCTGGCCGAAGCCGTGCGACTGGTTACAGCTGAAAGTACATTAAGTGTGCTGCATACAACGAATGAACCAGATGAGGAAAAACGAGAAATGCCCCGATTTATGGATGATCAATTCAAGGAACAGTTTCGCATGAAGCGCAGCAGCTTTGAGGTGAGCAATTTGCCTTGTAGCGTTTATATTTACGTATATTAACGTGAAATGATTTACAGGTGCTACTGCAGGCTGTGGGAAAAGCAATATCCGGGGCGGAACATCACCAGCCAATTGCACGAGTATCGCTGCCAGAGAAACTATTGTACACTCTTACACTCCTGAGTGGAAAGTAGGCAAGACTCTTCAATTAAGAGAAATATAAGTTTACTGGATATTTGTATATTCTCTTTCAGCAAATCATTTCGCGAAGTTGGCGAAACGTTTGCCATATCCAAGAGTTCTGGCCACGAGATATTTAAATGGGTTACATCAGGCTTTGCAGCATTGATGCCTTGCTATGTGAAGTGGCCAAAAGATAATGCGTGTGGCATCAAGTGCAGTCAACTGCCAGGAGTGGTGGGCGTCATCGACGAGTGTCGCATACCCCTAAAACTACCCGTGCGTGAAGAGCAGGGGCATATGCAGTACGCATCGCTGGCACTCCAGGCAGTATGTGATGAGCGGAGTCGCTTCCTTGATGTGCACATCGATGTGCCCGACAATCAGTGTTCAGTGTTGCTGAAGAGTGAACTATTTGAAAGATTAATTGACATGGAGGAACCGCTGATGCCGGCGGAAAAGCATATCGTGGGCGAAATGACCTATCCCCTACTGCTCAATTTGATGACACCCTATGCAGACAACAATGGGGAGTTAACGCCCTGTCACATACGCTACAATCAGGCTATTCATTTGTGGAATGCACCCGCCGAGCGTGCCTTCACGGCCTTGATATCTCGCTTTAGACGACTGAAGTCTTTAGATGTGGGCACAATGGAAGTGGCCAGCATTGTTGTCGCGGCCGCATGCATGCTGCACAACTTTATCTTGGATTGTAGCGAGCCCATTGAAGATTCCACGTTGGACTATGAGCTTCTTCCTGAGAATCAAAATTCGATTGTGTTCGAAGAGCATGGATTGGTGAACTGGGACCATACGGCAGCTGCAGAAAAGAAACGCGATGGCCTGGTAGCTGGCTTTATACAGTCATAGTATATATGCATATAGTTCTATATCTAACTATATATAATAAAATTAGCCTAGTTTTTAATTTATAACAGATGTGTTGTTTATTGTGGCAAGTTCTATTACAGTCTGGCAACTCTAAATCTGTCAAACAAAGCCGTCAATTCTTTTTGCGCAGTCGCTAACGAATACCAATTTTTGAATTGATAATCAATTTCAGAGCCTTTAGAGTGAAACGAAATACGTATTCAGTGAAACGAAGTGCATATTTGTCTCTGAACTTTAAAAACTAACTTGGCAGCTAAATTAATATAAAATGTAATGTCCTTCCCTTGCCAGTTGCTAAATTTGGCACAGTCTGGCAGCTCTAATGCCAAGACCGTACAAAACAAAGCCGTTCTTTTTTTTTTAACGCAGTTGTCAACTACGAGTATTTGATTTAAATTAACAATTTGCAATTTTTTGATAAACATGTATTTAGTATCCACCTCAAAGAAGACTATTTTATCGGATTTCGCCGATTTGGAAACGAAATCGGTATTTGAGCATGCAAATGGCGAGTCCACAGACTTTCAATTCAACGCGCAGCGGCGCGTCTTCGTGGAGGTGGACAAAAAGGCGGGCTTAGCGGTGATGCGCATAAAGGAGAAGCAACCAAACGGTAAAAACGAAGTGCGCATTGGTTGATATGTATGGTAATCAGTTCTCTTGCAGCTCCTGAGATACAGCGCGTGCGCAAACTGACCATCGACAATGCTTATTCCGTGTGCTGTGCCAAAACGGCTTCCAATCAAATTGCCATCGGTCAATCGAGCGGATTCGTTAAGCTCTTCGATTTTCGCACCGCTGAGATGATTCACCGTTATCCGGCGGACCAATCACGCAGCACAGTGCTCTATGTAGACTACAACTGCACGGATGACTACATAGCCGCTGTTCTGGAGAGCGGCAAAATAAACATCTACGGAACGAAGACCAAGCAGAAGATCGAAACGGTGACCATCGATGAGCAGTGAGTAGATGTTTGAGAGTAGCTGCAGAGAAGACAGAACAGGGATATGAGTAGACTTGTAGCTAAAAGTGTCTTGTGCAGCTATTTTATTATAGTGCGAAATCTAATATCAAATCTCTCCTCTTACAGCTCCACTCTGGCTCGTTTTCACCCGAGTAAACGATTCCACTTGGCCATTGCCAGCTACAAGGGCGCAGTCAGCGTCTACGATCTGCAGTCGAAGCGAAACATCCTCAACTTGAGCGAGGCTCACGATGCCCCTTGCCGAGATGTGAGCATGTGCAGCACGCAGCCCTCGCTGCTGGTCAGTGTAGGCTACGATTGCAAGATCAATATATTTGACATACGGCGCAATAAGGCGCAGTCGTCCTCGGGTCGCTTGACCTACTCGCATCCCCTGTCGACGGTGGCATTGAGCGAGTGTGGCACGTACTTCTGTGCAGGGAATCTCAAAGGCGAGCTGATTGCCTACGATATGCGCAGCACCAAGGCGCCGCTAGCAGTGCGCCCGGTTCACGAGGGCTGGTAAGCACTTTCCATATATCAAGATTATAATCGTATGTAATATATGTTTTGGCAGTGCTGTGAGTCGCGTCGCCTTTGTGCCTATGCCCACGGAGGAGCAGCAAAGCAGCAGCTTCACTAGCACCAATAATGTAACCATGGACGCCGGCAAATCCGTTGGCAATCCAGTGGAGCAAACGCCTAGCGATGAGCTGCGCAAATCCATTGCAGCTAATCTGCTGCAGACGCAGCAGCAACTGGCAACGATGACCAGCAGCCTGGGCTATGGCGGCAAGCAGCGTGATTCGTTCTGTGATTTCCTGGACGCGCAGCGCCCGCGCACTCTGGATCGAATGTCCACGCGCCTAACCACAGCCAGACGCGACAGTTTCGACTGGGATGCGCTGCAGGCAAAGCAAAACAACGAGGAGCAGCGCCAGAGCATTTGTACCACTGGCTCGGGTCTGAGCTCCCTGGACAGCGCAGATTCGCTGCAACGTAAGGTCAAAGATGAAGCCCATATACAAAACCTGAAACTTTAAATATCTTTTGCAGAAACTCTTAGCGGTCCTTTGCGCGATCGCAGCAATATTTCGGGCGATGCCAAGCTGAAGAAGATTGCCGAGACAGACGAACACACCACACAGCTGCACGAGATGCAGTCGGCCAACTGCTCCGCTGCCAGCAGCTGTGCCGGCAGCGACAAAGAGAATCCAAATATGGCCGAAGTCGAGCGGAGGCAACGTCTGCGATTGCTGCCAGCTAGCCGGAACAGCACGCCGCATCATGCAGCTCCAGCAACAGTAAAGAAACCAATTGAAATTCAATCACAACAGCTGCTACCAAAGACATCCAGCGGCCTGTCCACAGATGCCTTGCTGCCGGATGCAACTGATGGAGCTGAAATGGCCAAAGAGCTGGCCGAGGTGCGCAGGGAGCATGCCGAGGTGCTAAACCTCTTGGATGAACGTTTCGTTAAGCTGGAGAAAGAGCTCAAGTGGTCGGACGAAAAGACGCGCTTCCTGCTCTTCAGCGAGATGGCCAACTACTGGCAGCAGCAGCTGAATATCACCCAAGAGATACGCGAAACACTCGACTTGTTGCTGCGCAAGGATCGCTTTGTGCATGAGTTCGCCTGTCTGCAGAAGGAGAACGAGGAGCTGCGAGAGCAACTACAGCTATTGCTCAGTGAGCGAGAAGGCGAGGATGTTTAAAGGCTTGTTTAAATTTATATTTCGATGTAATTGATTATTTTGTTGCATGCAATCTTTTTGTATGTTTTATGTATGTGTATCTATTTGTTTATTGATAAGTGTTTCAATTATTGTGCATTGTATTCTACTATGTGCTTCGTCACTGTCAAAGAGATTCATACTATTTCGATTATATATTAATGATTCTGTTTGCAACTGCTTAAAAAGCATTTATAAATATGTATTACTGTTATTAATCAGTGTATTAAATTTGTTTATATCCATATTCAAACGATGCATTTCCGTTTAGCTAATCATGATATATAAATATACTATATAGTTAATACTCAACTGCTTCGCCAATATATATAGAAAATATTCTATATGCCAATTTCAGCTCCTGCTGTTACTCCCCCATTTGCTGCTGCTGTGGCTCCTGCTATGGCTGCTGCTGTTGCTGCAACATTTTCTGCTGCTTTTGCTGCAGCTCCAATTGCTATCGCTACTCTTTTTTGCTGATGTTGCTCCGGTTGTTGCTTTTGCTGCACCTCCTGCTTCTGTAGTTGTTGCTTTTGCTGCACCTCCTCCTGCTGTTGCAGTTGCTGTTGCTTTTGAAGCAGCTCCAGTTGCTGTAGCTTCTGCTGTTGCTGTTTTTGCAATTGCAGCTGCTGAAGCTGCAGCTCCAGTTGTTGTTGCTGTCGCTGCTGCAGTTGCTCCGCTGGGCTAAGCCTGACGGGCATATCCACCTGGAGATGGAATAAGCAATTGACACAAAACAATTTATCAACTGTTGCCACACTCACCGATATAGTCGAATTGAAATTCTCATAGTCCACGATATATCGCTCGTGGCTAGCATCGTAGTGGATGATGTTGGCGAATCGCTGACCCCAGTAAATCTCGCGCGGCACATACGAAGTCTTCGCCTCGGTCATTTGCGCTGTGGTCGGCGAGGTGCCAACAATCGTGACATAGAGCTCAAACTGTCCGGCATTGAATTGCTTCGCATTGTTGAATGCGAAGAGTGGACTCGTCTCATCGATGACATGGCAAACGATGTCTGGCCAGACAATCAACTGCTCGCCATTCCCCTCCAGCTTTAGCTCCGTGTGGGTCTTGATGACCTCGCCCTCACGAGTACTGCCGAAGCAAATGTTTTTTTATTATACATGTCGCATCCCTCTTTTCTCTTTACTCACTGTTTATCCACAATCATATAGACTCGTATCTTCGATTCGATGGACTGCTGTTCCCGCGGATCGCAGACGCGAAAGAGCAAACATAGTTTGCCATCGCGATAACAAATCTAAAATTCATATATAAACCTTGAGCACAGTGCGATAATGAGAGATAGCTTCTCTTCGTAACATTAACGTAACGTTTTGCCAACTGGCAATCCTTCTCTCACAAGTGCATATGTATGAATATGTGTGACTGTGTGCATTGTGTGAATGTAACAGTTAACAGTTGCGTTATCATAGATCGACTTTCTTTTTCACATGATATTCTTTGTGTAATTACATATGTAAGAGGACTTACCACAGCCTTATCGCTGAACTTGAGCTTCGTTAACTGTTTGGCCGGACGCGCAGTCTTCGCATAAATAATGCTAATCATTGACCCCTCAATAGCTGCCGCGCACATCATTTGCATGACAAATAGGAAAATTGTTTCCGGGCATTCCTCACTCGCATATTTCTCACCAAATCCAAGCGTTGTTTGCGTCTCAATCGAGTAAATCATCATGGCCACAAAATTGCGCACACCATAGATGCAAGGATCTTGGCCTTCTCCTAAACGTTCACCAGATGCCTCATCGAAGAGAAAATCACCATGCGAATAAGCGACCATATAGCATAAGACACCAAAGAAGAGCCAGCTCAGAAAGTAACTTCCCAGGAAAATTGTTAGCATGTATTTCCAATCCAATTCGATCTGTGTAGGCGGGAAATTTAATTTGGTTAGGACTGAGCAAATTTTATCGATTTCAGTTAAGAAGTGATCGAAGTGTGGAATAAATTTGTATTTAAATGTTTGTATCGAGTTCGTTAGTGACAGAAGTTATCGTTTGCGATGATTGACGTGTGCCATCGATATCGTTAGCGACAGTACAGGCACAATATCGTTTGCGATGCGATTGACATACATATTAGAATGCTGCTCGACGCCCAAGTATAATATTTGCATCAACTGGTCGATAGCTTTTGCGATAGCAAATAATTAGTCATCGATGGAAATGAATTTGAATGCAGCGCCCAAGTAATATGTTTGTTATATATATTTTGGATTTGCGTTAGATTATGTGAGTTTATTGTGTTTAGTATATGCTAAATGCTAAATGTTACTTTCTCCCTATCGCCATTATGTGGCTTGGGCATGTGCTTATATTTCAGCTTCGTTGTCGGCGACTCATTAGCCAATTCATCCAATTTACGCTGAATGCTGGGCGTTATGCTATAGATATTCGATCGTTCACGTGTTATCTGCTGTGTCTTGTTACTAGGCTTGTGGCCGAACACGGATCTTACCAGTGTGGTAATCGCATCGCGCATATATCGCCACGATTTCTCCGGAATGCGACGAAAGACAACGTTCTCGTGACCATTCTTTTGCATAACCCGATGCATGCTGCGCTTTCTGCCATCCGCATCCAAGTCGGGGCTGAGCTCAATCGTGCTGCCCGACCAGTCGAGCGTATAAGGAAAGCTGCGGTAGTTATGTAAGTGGTATATAATGTGTATAATATATAGTGTTCTTAATTTTGACCCACTTTTGCTCGCTGCGCGTCTCCAATTGATCGGCTGCTTGCTTGGATTTACGTCGTCTGCGTAGACAGCTTGGACTTTCTGGATAGTAATCGGTTTCAGTATCGTTCACTGTCTCCTTCTCCGGGGATCGAGCCAAGGGCTTGGGATTTAAGGGCCTTGGCTTCACTGGCATCGAGGTGGAGCGTTTCATTTCTAGCTTTTCGGCCATCATCATCCCACGCGTAGACAGTAACTGAGGTTTGTTTTCTTGTCTAATTGCCCTCCACAATTGATTCAAAGAAAAAATATTTCACTTGTCGTCTTTCGTCTTAATTAAATTAAATTGCAGTGCACAGATGCTGACGCTCAAGTTGTTTGACTGACTGACCGAGTGGCACTGAATCCAAGTCCGCGACCGAGTCGGAGTAGGGCATTAAAAGTGTGCACATCATCTTGCGTATTTGTATCTATATAATGTGTATTTTAATTTATTTATTATCTTCAACTTGTCTCTGGCTGTGTTTGTGCATCCCGTAGAGAGATTAGAACGTCAAAATCTTTTCACTTTATTTAGTTTCTTATGATTAGAATGCATACGTTTGTACTTACAGCAAATATTGCCATAACGATGGCAAATTTCAGTTGACAGGTTTATCAACCTAGATTTGTTTACATTGTTTTGCTGATTTCTGCTATCAGCAAACAGCTCCATTTCAAATATGCGCGCGCACGGAGCTGACCATGGCCGCAGCCAAATAGCTATCGATAGCTATGCTTATGAGAGTACTCAGAAATATCGAAATTTGAATGATAAAAACTGTACAATAATTATTTGAATTGCTGTGAATAAGCTCAAAAATAGTATAAAATTTTAATTTTATTCATGTAAGCTATTTTTTGGAGAAGTATTGCTGATATTCTTTCGTTTTCTTTCCTTAAGAAGTCATTCTTTCCCTAGGAAAATATGCCTTTAGAAAAAGAACCTAAAAATATCAAATCAATTATTTTAATTTTGTTTATTGCCGAAAATGAATTATATATATATCATATATATCATTTTCTATAATTTTATCTAGTGGAATGCCACCAATACCAAAATCGGGTCACATTGCAGTAAATGAAATATCGTTGATATCGATATGCGTTTGCTGGCAGCCAGAGCCAACCTCACGTTGTAGAAGTGTGTGTCAGTGACACAAACGAGCAGTACTTGGAACTCGTAGCACGCACGTATCTCGTTGTTGTCGCTCGGTATAGCTTTAATGTCTACAAAAGAATTGAGATACGTCCCCGTTGCGTTAGTGAAATTACTTAAATTGATGAAATCAACGCCGCTTAATTGAAGTGCACACTAATTCGATTGTGTTTTCAGTGCAATTTATGTGCAAAATAATGGTGTGCGCGTGGTGTTAAACATGATGAATATAAATCGGAAAGTGTAAATGAGAGAGAAAGAGAGCAGATATATAACTAAGTGCGAATGTTTGTGTGGCATAGCTAAACTGAATTATGCTTAAAATACAATTTATATAAATTGCCAACAAGCCAATATTTAACAAACAACAGCGACAGCGATTGCAAAACACAAAAATAGCAGCAGCAGCGTTTAATCAGGTAAATAGTTGGGTGTGATGCCAACAAAAAAGTTTACAACTTATGTGGCAAAAATGCCATTGATAAATTTATATTAATACACACACATAAATACATAAGACTATAAATATATGGCTTATAGCAAGGGCATATAAGTATCCATAATGGATGTATGTATTTATTATAACGAATATATATACAGATATATTATTGGTGTCGCTGTTGCGTTATTTCGTTGTGCCCAAAAGAGATATACGAAATTCCCAGAAACGCATTTTCTAATTTAGACCGATTTCTGAGAAGTGACAGACAGCCAAGCGAGCCAACGACGACAACAACAACAGCAGAAGCAGCAGCTCAACAAGACTAACAACAATGCGCACACAAACTGACACACACACACACGTCTATATGCATATGCTTGCTCTCGCGCTCACACTGAGAGACTTAGCAATAGCAACAAGAGCATAAAGAAGACAATGGGAAAGGGAGCGCGGCAGTTGGCGGCTGCTGATGTTGGCAGCTGCTGTTGCTGTGGCGGCTATTGAATGAAATGCTGCTGCTGCTGCGGCTGCAAACATTTAACACCATAAGCCAAGCTGAAGCTGGCCTCACACACACACACACACACACACATTACACGCGCAGCTAAAGAGAGAGAGAGAGAGAGAGCAAGAGCGAAACTTGACTCAATTCGCCTGAAGCCATACTTCATACACACTCGACGTTGGCAGCGACGATATATATTTTTTTTTCGACTTACCCTTCACAAGAAAAGGTGTTATTAACTTTGCTGTTGTCTGTAATGCACAGACACACACAGGCATACAGAGTTTTTTGATCATTCTTGTTAAAAGCGGGTTTTTGACCAGCTTCTTCCGCTCATTTCCTTGAATTTGTATTAAAACTTTTTTTGAGTGCATTTCTGTGGGCTCTCTGGCATTTTTAATAGCTTTTCATGTGAAATTGAAATTGTTTCCAACTCCCAGACACACGGACGCACACACATACACATAGAAGCAAGGATAAGTGTAATTGGGGCGTTGCTTAATTGGCTTGTCTAGATTCGCCCGCGAGCCAAACGATATTTACGACGAATATGCCAAATTGTCTGCACCGAAAAGCAAACAAAAAAAGATGAATAAGAAGAAGACAAACTGGAGCCCTTTGCATGTGCCTTAAGTTGATCGTGTTTGTTCACACGCAGCTGTTCTAAATATTTTCAAGATAAATAAAAGGTTTTAAATGCAGTCATGTTATTAGTATTTGAGTAACATTCATTGGAAAGCCCTTAATTTACTAAGATGTATCTACTAGACACATATGTACATACCTATATATGATTATGTACTTCATGACAAGCTAGCGGAAATGCATAAAAAAGCAATTATCAGCTTATTTTTTTGTGCATTACTCATGAAAAATAAAAATGAGCTGACTTGAACAAAGCAGAAATAAAATACGAAAAATTAAAGTGATTTAATGAATTTCCTTAAAATGCTCAAGTTTCAGTTTATTTGTATGTATGTAAATATAAAATGAAATTGAATTTTTTCAGAAAATTTTCGCAATCGACTCTATCTATGATCCTACTGTCATCATGATACGCTACGCATGAACATGTAAAGATTGCCATTCTCTATTCTCCCCACCCCATTCTAACCATTCTCTGCTGCTATTGGCTTATGCTCAGCTGCTGCTGCTGCCGCCGCTCGGGCTATTATTGTTTTTTTTTTTTTCTTTCTCTTCCACTCTTCCCTATTTCTATTGTATTAGTATTTGTTATACGATTTACGTGCAGATTTCGTGGAAATTTGATTTGATGTATGCGAATGGCTATGTATTGTTGCTGTTGTTTCTTTTCTCTTTCTTCTCCGTCTTCATTTTGCGCTCATTGTTAATTGTTCGCGTGAATTTGTTCAATTGAATCGCAATGCCAAAAGTGAAATGTGGGCAAAACACTCAATTTTTGTTAAAGTGGAATTCATTTTGGTTGTTTGTTTATTTTGATGTTTTATGTTTTTGTTACTTTGCTCTTAATTGTTTTTCATAGTAAATCATCGAAGCTGTATGCATATAAAGCTATTAATACTCAAAGATTGTTATTGAACTTTTTGTTTTGTTTTGCTTGGATTTTATTATGATTATTTTGTTGTTGTTGTTGCTCAGAAACCGGTTCATATTTGGTTGGCTTCAACTTTTTGAACTTGTTTTATAATGTTTTGTTTTGTTTGGCTTTGCTTTGAGTTTCATCTGGGTCGCTTTCGTAAGTAGATGATGACGACCTAATCTATATTCGCCCGAGCGTTGCCCAGTTACCAATTACCTGTTACGCTTGCTCCGTATGGCCCACACACCCCCAATGACCCCCAGCCAAGCAGAGCCAGTTCCATAGTGCCAGTTCCACTTGACTTATCTAAGCCACTTGCTCTTGCCCATGTTGTGTCTCTTCTTTGTGTACCTCCCCTCTCTCTATCCATACCGCTTGCTCTCTCAGTGTGAGTGTGCACATATTTGCCTTCCATTTCCATGGAAAACGAAGCGCTTTTGATTGTTCTTGGAATTGTTGCTTCCCAACCTCTTCCTCCGCTTTGAGTCTTGTGCGCTGTGTGCCTGATAAGCGCTGTGTATACGCGTATTATTCGCTTGAATACTATCTGGCCCGTTAAACACTCTGATTTTCGTGTGAATTGTGATAAGTAACTTAAATTGCGTGCGTAACTAGCATTAAATTCTCTGCTTCTGCACTCGCAGAGTCGAAAGGTCAACTTTAGAGTTTAGTTGCATTCAAGTACATTCAAATATCGGAAAACTGTATTCTTGATTTATTGCCTCATTACAAATTGCTTATATCTGTTTTACTAAACACAGCTAATGCTGTTCCTTAATAGATCATGTTTGTTTTCTTTATGCACTCATGTGTTTACATTGAGTAACAGTTACTCGATACGGCAGTTACTTAGTCACGTGCCGTGCACACCTCTGGTTGGCAAGCTCAATGGGTGGGTGGTTGGGCGACACACACACGCACACAGAACAACAGGCGGGCTTTGCATTTACCGTTGTTATTTATCAATGAAATTTTGTGGAACGCTTTGATTATATTTACAGCTGCCTGGAACTGTTTTATGAGTGAGTACGAGTATGTGCGTGTGTGTGCGTGTATATACATATATTCATACATAAAGTACTATAATTTACGTACGTTCGTTCATATTTTTATTTTGCCTATCGGCTTCCGGCTGAAGGCAATCGTAATCGCTAAATTTATAAATTTAATCGTAGCTAATATACTCACATGCAAACATACATACATACATACATACATATGTATGTATGTATATATGGTTTCTGTTGACTGAATAAAGAGCGCCGACTGTTGCGCTGAATTGTTCAGTTGACATTTCTGGACGGTACGAGTCGGTGATTGCTGTAAAGTATTATGCATTGCCTTATTTGGTAATATCCGAGTGTTTCTTGATAATAAATAGTAAGGAGCCTACCTCAATTCGGGGACCAGGTATGTGGCTTGGTTCATGAGGAACATAAATCATATAGGCTCTATGAGTAGTATAACTATTGAACTTATGAATGAAATGTTTAATCATATCCTATAATAGACTTTAATCAAATGCAGCTATTGTTACGGCACAGAAAACAATAAATATAATATAAATTGACTTTAATAACATGTATTACATGGAATACTACTTATAGAGATTACACTACTACTACATATGTATATTTTTTAGCTTCTAATGGAATGAATACATGTAGACTTCTACAAATATCCTATGGCTCTACGAATATATCAACTACTTCATATGCCTTCTACTGTATC